TCTAAATTATCAACATTAAAACCTTCACAACAACAATATGTGACTTTTTAATATAATGGATGGTGCAATTGTAGCTTTTTAAATAATTTGCAAAATTTGAAATTTGAAATATTAATTTTAAACTCCTCCCCAACCAGGAACAGCAGTGACTTATATACTTTTTCTCTCATAACATGATCTGATTGTGCAAAATAAAAAATAAATAAACTCACCTAAAATAATAATAACTCTCGCGATTTATCAAGCAAAGACATTGATTCAAGTGAACCTTATCTTATCATTCTTCCTCGACTGTCAAAAAAGTTATATCAGCTGAATAATGTAGATACAAGCGTAATGGTTTGGTAAAACAATCTTTCAGTATCACTGGCACCACACATCAAAAATTATATTTAATATGTTACTACACGTTATTCAAGAAAAATTACCAATTCACGACAAAAAATTAAAAAGTATTGTCATACTAATTAATACCAAAAGGAATGTATCCGGAAATTTCTCATCATTATTATTATTTCGGTAACAACAACTTCAACTAAATAATAATTTATCATCATCTTCTTTTCTTTCGAACTTCCTTACGAATCAAATGTCACAAAACTCTGGCTCTTCAAATAGGGTACGCATTGCTTTACTATTACCGACAACACATGGAGCGCCATTTTAGCATTTTATTAGTTGTTTGATTATGTGGAGGTTAAATGTAACCCTGAGTTGTCGGTAAAATGAATGCCTGTCTCCCCTTCAAATGATAGAAAAGAAGCAAAAGTTCAATCAATCCATTTCATTGGCGGAAGATAAAAAAACTGAATACCCAATTCTATCTTCATTAGCATTAAAAATTTAATATTCGAATTTGAAAAATGTTATTATTATTATATCACTTTATATAACAATAATAGAGTTTGAATTGTTTATATTTTTGTTATTACACACTATTGTTGAAATATTAATATCATATTATTAAAATTCGGGAAAAATACATGTTTCTTTCAAGAAATCAACATCTTCTATATACAACTTTAGGATCTAACCTATTTATTTCTTTTTGGAGTAATGTAATTGTTCACATCAGAAAGAAGCCTTTCGTTAGATACTGATGTAGAAGAAATTCCCAAATGCCGGCGATAAATACAATCACTACTATTCACTCCCAAACCTTGGAATTGTAACACCACGAACCACACTACCATACAAGTAATTGCGAAGCATTTATTTGATTCAAATCATTGCTATTAACCTCGCTGGTACTTATTCTCAATGATGAATACCGTTGATTTATTGATAAGAGCACTCTTATTGTTTACCACATATGGTTTAAATTTAATGGTATCATTAGGCATAGAAGAAATTACTTTATTATTAAAAGATTTTGCAGGCGAGTCAAAAAATAATTATGAAATAAATTATATATATTCAAATATCCTTGAATAAATTGATATCTGAAATACTAATTGTATTCAATAAAATAAAATATGCAAAAAACTATGAATTTATTTAATAACATTTTTTTTTATTTATTCCATCTCTCTTTAAAGAAATGAAATTTGATATGGATAAATTTTGACAAGAAAATATAATTTTTTTCTTTCTTAAAAAATATATTTATTATAAAAATAAATCCATATAAAAAGGTTTTGATAAAGATATATACAAAGAACTTCTTCAATGTTATTTTACTGATAAATGGTGACCTAGATTCTTCTGATAAAAATTATGACTGTTTTATATATTTGACTTGCCTTGCTATTCATAGAAACAATCGCATAAATGAATTGAACAGCATACCTTTTATGAATGCGCAATTGCTGGTGGCTTCTATCACATATGGGGCATACTGCAACAAAACCAGACAAAGTGAACATTGGTATTACCAAAAATTTCAGGGATCAAAATTTAGTTATTATTATCACATTAGTTTTATAATATCCCATTTGTTATCTTAAGTGATATATAGAACTATCCCTATACAAAAATAGTTAATATGAAACTAATTTACATTAAATCCATCATGGAACCTAAGAATTACAGCACCATTAGAAGTATTTTAAAAAAGGAACAAGGTGAAAAAATTGCTCCTTATATTTT